GAAGGGTATTGGGGTTTTCCTCGAAGAATTTGTTAACTCCTTTTTGGCATTTGGATGTGGTTCTTTATTATGCACAAGACAATCACGGCATGACCTACGGTCCGACGGGCTCGGAGTTCGGAATAGGACTGACTGTTCTAAGTTCATGAAGTTATCCCGTAGGGATGAGGGTTTCTGATTCCGTGGAGCTGGGCTCAACGGTTCTTTCCCATACTCACCGGACTCTGTTGTCGCGGACGTCGGGATCTCTTCCCACGACGCATTTTGACACCATGCAGTTCGCAAACTCTCATGTATGCATTTCTAAATGACTATAGACTGACGGCATTACAGAACGAAATTAAGATTTCGCTAAAAGAGCCCGGCAATATGGCGGACTTTTGCTCGTTCGCGAAACGCCTCTTCTGTCGGGGTCAGTCGAGAACAATGCCCATTGTACCTTCCTTGGCACTCCCGGAAAAATTTCCTCCCTTTCCTCCCGCGATAATAGATTTTTCGGGCATAACCCCCCGCCCCCGGCATTGTCTTTCAGGGTCGTAATGAATTTTAAGGAACCCGAGGGGGGCCGGTATTATGCAGATCGCTCGCATGTTGCACGAACGAGAAGAGCCTCGGCTCCTCGCAATTAGCCAGCCGATCTCTGGGATTTAGTGTTTTTAATATCCGCCCATCGAGGGCCGTTTGTTAGCCGATTCGAAATTGGTATACCAGGGATTTTTATGCGACGCTGTAATAAGCGGAGCGCGTCCCCTGTCGTGAGTGAGAACCAAAATGGCGGCGGTGGCGGGCGCCACGTGGCCGATCCATTGTCACCGTGGAATTTATACGGCACTTTCCTTACCACAAAGGCAAGGATTTCTGAAGCCCTCGATCGTTCCTTCAAACATATCGAGTGGTCGTCAAGGTATTCTCGAAAATCTCGGCGTCGATCTCGAGATATCTGGAATTTTCCCGCGACCGAAACTCGGGGAGAACAAGACTTCCCGGGGCGGAAAATCGAAAATTATCGAGTTCGATATATCCCCTTGCGGGAATATTTCCTCAGCTCTCTGGTGCGGCTCTCGATTTCCCGTTTCCGCGAGTCGGTGTTTGAAGTAACGTATCGAAAGCGTGACGTTGTCAAAGAGCCCTGCCTTATTGGCGGCGAGATGAGATTCCTCGGGGAAGAAATTTGGAAATATAAAAGTGCCTCTCCTACGGGAGAAGTTTTTTTTATTCCGCCGGAGCCCCCTCCGATACTCAACATCAGGCAAAACCACGGACATAAGAAACGAGGAACGTCGCGATTCGCTGCTCGGATGACGCTCCTAGGCGGCCATCTTGATTTTCTTTCTCGCGTCTTTTAAACGGATGTAAAAGAAAATACATTCGAAGTAACCAACAACTGTTACTGCCATTCGCGAGTTTCACATCCTCAAGACCGATTTACAATACAATTTGACAATCTTTCTACCTTTTGGCACGCTTTTTATAGCTTCAAAATCCCGAAGTCACTTCTTTCTCGCGACCGCCATCTTGTTTCCTCCAAGTCGTTCCTACCGCGATCTCTTAACTTTTCCCATGTAGATACAAGGTCGTAATCTCCCAGCACTCGATAAATATTATTCCGTACCATTCCATCCCGGTAACCGTGGAGCCCCTCCCTAGGGACTTTTCCACCGTTTGTCCTCGGCGCTTTGGGAAATTAGCGCGCACATTTTCCTGGGGAAAATGGAGTCGCGGTTCTTCGTCCGGCAGGCCTTCGACATTGCCGTCCACGGCGGATAGAAAACTCGGAAGCACCGAATTAAAAAGTCCGCCCCCGCGGGAATTGAATTATTAATTCCCGCGGCCATGTCGGGTTTTAATTCGCCCGGACATCGGCGAGACGTTCTCGTTAACCTAAATATTTATCCGCGAGTTGTCCGTGCTAATTCGTCGACTGCCTTGTAAATATTTCCGGCTGCGCTGAAATTCTGTCGAAAGAGTCAAAAACTTGCAATGGCGGTCCTCCACTCGATCACCTAGAGAGGACACGTGGCGCCACTCAGCGCCTAATTATAAAACGTTGTAATTGTCGCACTCCCTTTTCTTTTTAAGCACAGGCAAAATTATCATTAAAATATTTGTATATATTTCAAGTTTTTAAGTTGTACCGTTTCTTTTTATTGTGATATTTGAGGTTAGGTTCCCATTGACGTTGCGACGCTCGTCAAGGGCGAGAGGTCGATAAACGGAAGGGGAAAAAGGTCGCAAGGCGCCGACCGACGCCCTGGGGTGAACTTTACCGCGTTGTTTGGCCGTAGAGGTAATAAAGTGGCCGCCATTAGTAGGTTGCGCGTAGGTTAGGGTCGAACTTGCTCCCGGACTCGGCAAGACGCGGGCAGAGCGCTTCCGCTCGCCGGAACGACCGCGCCGCCGCGCGGCCGCGACGCGAACCTTCCGGAACAGCCCGGAATTACCGACGCGAATCGCCCTCGTTACTTCCCCGAGATTAACGCCACGTAACGCCGCGTTAACGGCACGCCGTCAGAAAGCGGGCGCGGAAAGCCGCTTTCGACGTTAACCGGCGCGTAAGCCGCGCCGTTAAGGCCTTAGTGCATATTTGACATTAACGCCAACGGTAGACACAAAGATCCCCTACTGTAAAAAATCCAATATGGCGTCGGTGTCCGACAAACCGTTCTATTTACTGGTATGCTCCCATGGCAGTACTAAGTCCTCAGGAAGTAATGAAAAAAAAATCTCCATTCCTCAGAAAAGTCCCATACGATGAAGCTAGACGCATGAAAATTCCGAGGTCACGTGGCTCTTCTTGACCAGGAAGGCCGAACACAAGGGAGCGATATCCCTCTCGTCGCTCTCACCGGCGTGGACTGGTTACCCCTCTCGCGAGCTTAGGTTCGCCCGCAGGAATTCAAAACAATCCGGGTCACGTGGTACTTGTTGACTAGAAGCAAGGGTGGATCGAAAGCAGCGCTCTGATTGGTCGGCTCGCGGCTGCGGAATGCGGGTAGCCGCGCCTCGCCTTCCTTGTCGCTCTCATATGCGGGCGCGTTCCCCCTCTCTCTCGCTCACTCGTCGCGACTCGAGCGAGAGAGAGGGCCCGATGCCTTCTCGCGGGCGCGCGACGAGGACGCACGATGCCCGCATTTCCCGCCAGGACCCACGATCTCGACACGGCCGCGTATGTAACCGGGGTGATACTCTGAGAAGGACGTCGGACGCCGCGGCCGCTTTCGTAGGGAGGAAAGATACGGGGAATGAATTCTACAGGAGGAAGCATTGGAGAGGTATTCCCTCGGACATAAGTTTCGTTCCGCGGCGCGCCGCGGAACCGCCATTACTGGCCGGCGAGGTTTTACGAACGGGGAGGGCGGCGGTCAGCGGTTCTCGTTTTGCGAAAAGTTTCCCCGGTCGGTTATCGGTCTAAATGAAGTTGGCACGTGGCATGGGAATTGCCGGCCGACCGACGCTCCCCGAATATCTCACGCGTTTTATTCATTAGACAACCGTGCCCGTCATTTACTCCCTTGAATTACCATAATCGACGTCGCGTTTACGCCGGATTAACGGAAAAATAAAAGCCCACTTGTTGCACCTCGCTTCAACCTAACCCTCTCAAAAAATGTCCGCATCGTGTCATACATTTGGAGGTTAGGACCGGTTATGCTCTGCGCAGAAATATTTTAATTATTTCTCAGGGTTTTCTTAGATGCTAGAAACTTATTCCAGGATTTAGACTAGGCATTTATTTAACTCGAATGTTTGTTTCCGTCTATTGATTGCCGGTCAAGGACGTTATTAACGCTGATAGGATTTGTTTAACGGGGGAATTAAATCGTACGAGAATCTGTACTTTTTAAGCCCCTCCTATTTCGCCGTTCCCTTTCGAACAAAGCGAACGTCGACTGGATCGACTTTATCGGCGATATCGGAGATTTATAAGTGCAGAATCGAAATTGACCACGGCCGCACCGCGCCGTTACTTTTCCGGATACGGGAAATCCAATTCTCGATAAACTCGGTCGTCGGGACCGATCTGATATCTTCGAAAATATCGACTCCCCTTGCTAATGAAAAAAAAGAAGAAAATCCTTCCTGGAGTCTGCCATGCGGATTCTTGGTCTTTGCTCGAGAAGAATTTAGAATTCTTCGTTTGAAGAGTATTAATTTCTCATTGTCAGAAGCAGATGGGATTTTATTCATTTTCCAAGAATTAATGGGGAAAACTGTCGATTATTGGGAAAAATCGTTTTCCCGAAGTCTGCGATACGTATTCTTCGTTCTTTTCTCGAGATAAACTTGGGTTTCTTGATTTATTAGATTTTATTCCTTTTTAACTCTTTGGCTGCTAAGAGCGCCTAAAGGCGCCCGACGTTTGGTCCAGTATTGCCTGCACGGTCAGACGAATTTCGCCCATATGTCGAAATGGCTCCATGTTCAAAGGGTTAAGGAACTGAAGATCTTTTTTTATTTAGAATTTAGAATTTAGAATGCTTCATTTGAAGATTATTAATTCCTCATTGTCAGAATCTGATGGGATTTTTTTTATTTTCCAAGAATTAATGGGGAAAACTGTCGATTATTGGGAAAAATCGTTTCCGCGAAGTCTGCGATACGTATTCTTCGTTTTTTTCTCGAGATAAATTTGGGATTCTTGATTTATTAGATTTTATTCCTTTTTAATCTTTTGGCTGCTAAGAGCGCCTAAAGGCGCCCGACGTTTGGTCCAATATTGCCTGCACGGTCAGACGAATTTCGCCCATATGTCTTAGAACCATATGAATTAGAACGACTTATGATATATTACCGGACGAGGAATATGCGTTTCCAGAGAGGACTGTGCGGGTGTTGACGATGTTTCCAATTATGTAAGCCTTTGGCTACTAAGAGTGCCTTAAGGCGCCTGATGTTTGGTCCAATATTGCCTGCACGGTCAGACGAATTTCGCCCATATGTCGAAATGGCTCCGTGTTCGAAGGGTTAAGGCACTGAAGATCTTTTTATTCGCTTTTCAGGAACTGATGACGAAGACCAAGCGAGCCAACTGGCGACGATTGCTGGTCGGAGGGGTGGTGGGGGTTCTGGTTTTGGCCCTGGTGATAACGGCGGTGATCCTCTTCACTGGTCCAGAAGCTGAGGGATCGAATGGGCAATCGGCTGCCCAGATCACTCTTGAAGAATGGCTGCTGGGATCTCTGTCTACGAAGAGCTTCAACGGCACCTGGATCAGTGGTGAATTAAAATTTTTATTAATGAATATACTCATCTATTATGTAATTAATTTATCAGCATCTTAGCTAGGTCGCTAAGCCTTCCTAACCGGAGGGATAATTGTTCCCCAAGTTCCTTAAAAAATTTAAGAATTTCACCAAGGGTCCAAAACGATATATGTGCCATAATTATGAAAGTGGTCTAAGTCAAAATNGTACTCCTAATTCGGTGAATACTTTTACGAACGACTTGACCGCTCAGATATATGTGCCCATAATTATGAAAGTGGTCTAAGTCAAAATTAAAAAAAAAATGAGTTTATCAGTTATTTCACGCCATATTATTTCAAACGAAATTAATTCAATGTAATTTCGAAACAAAAAATATATGACTTAGACCACTTTCATAATTATGGGCACATAAATATATTTCCAGTCACTCTCTTCAATTTTTCAATTGCAACGGGTATATTTTTATTCCGAATTCCGGAATTTCACCGAGTGCCTGTAGATATATGAGCAATAATTTCCGTAGACATACGCCTGTACTCATTCTGGAATTTATTTATTTTACTGGTAGGCATCAACAACGAGCGATGTTGCCTGGTTTCATATTTATGAGTTTAATGTATCAGACGCACTTCCGGCGGTTTGATTTAATCACGTTGCTTGCTCTGACAGGGCTAACATATGTAGAGCAACTTCCCGCTCATCACTGTACATCGATCATACCGGGTGCATCGCAATTGCTTTCGGTACACCAGCGAATTCCCATGTACAGGTACACTCGAGAACTTGCGAATAGCTTTTTCAAGGAATCTCCAATTCCGGCAACTCCCGAGTCCAAGAGCAACTCAACGGCAAGCGTAATTGCTTCGAATTTTAATTACTTGGTGCCTAGGTACACTGCAGAATCTTGAAACCCTGCGGGGGCAAAAACTCCTGGGGTGTTCTTTCCAATCTCCAGTCCTCGAAATATTTCACAAGGACTTTGCTTAACTTTAAATGGAGTCGGACGCAATTTGTCGCCCGACATGCGAAATGAAATTTGTTTCCTCGCATCGGACCTCTTAAATAAATTTTGTCGGTAGAAATGACATACGTCCATAGTTAATTTAATTGGGTATTTATTTTTTCAGGTTTCTTAGACCTTTTTTATAAATATACTCGTATCAAAATGGTTAACCATGAGTACACCCTTATCATTTTCTACTTAACGCTGGATTTAGTAAAGCGGTGATTTTTTAACAGTTTTAGATTTTGAAATCAAGTCATACCTTCCCTGCAAGTGAATATATTGTTAATCACTTTTAATCTAAAATTCGATAGAATTGAACCCTGCTTGCCTTTAAGTTAAGAAATGTGAAACTGGACGAAGACGATTTGAATTTCGCGCGTTTTCCCTCTCATGTTTATTGAGGAACTGAACTGAATTTTTATTAATTTCCCAACGATTGAAATTCAGTAATTCCCGATTTTTATTCAATCTCGAAGTAATGAGATAGACGTCAAGGCTCTAAATCTCCAACAAGTTAGCTTTGGGAGACACGAGTTCGCCCCCATTATTAATTCCATCATTTACGTGGGGGTAATTAATAATTAAATTGAATCGCATACGCTTACCACGTGCGTGACGTGACTGCGAGGCAGGAGGCAACAATGCGACAAAACCCGAGGAGCACATTGAACAATTTGCAATAGTTGACCGGAATATATTAATTGGACTGGGGGGGCGATTAAGCCGATTGCGATCAGATTTCCATCGATGACCGCGATGCGTAATCGCGAGTTATCACGTGGTATCATCACGCGGCCTTCAAAGGAGCCGCGGCCTATTTGCGTTTAATTAAACCGCGATCGATCGGTCCAATCGATCGGGCCTATTTATCGAGGTTTTGCGCATAGAGAGGGTTGATAAGCAGCAATAAACGGGAAATATCGCAAAGCGAGCGATCCCGTAGCGGCATATCGAGGCGTTGTTGTGTCAGACATTATTAATTCGAGTTGCCGCAATAGCGCCTGTTATTAATTTGACGGTGATGCATGTTAATCAGTGTATTTGCACGTTTATCGCGCCCTCCCGCTAGTCGTTACCCCATGGTGAGGTAGGATCCCTTTAATCGATTGTGCACTGCAAACTGGAAATTGTTGCCCGCCACCATGGCAGAGTTTCCAAGGAGGCGATCCGACCAATTTACTTGCCATAGAATAATCCGTAATGAAATCTAATGATAACGGGGTATCTCGTCTACAGAGACGTTCTATATTGAATAAAAAAAAAAAAAACGGCGTTAATTCGATGCGCGTCGTGAGACTTCCCTATACAATTTTTTATTCTATATTAAGGGGATTCAAATTAAAACCTTAAGAACTATTTTCAATGCTCCATGGTATGTACCAAATAACCAAATTAACAGTGATCTAAAAATATAAAGTAAGGCTTTAAACGCATCCCAAACAGCTCGCCAGAAGATTAATTACTTTGAACAACAAGAGGTCAAGATTAACCAGATATAGAACAATAGGATAACGATTTTATTATGTAAACATTTGTAACAGACTCATTGTTCATTCAGTAATTATGTATTTTGCGTACAGTCAATGGACTGTTACCGAAATGTATATATTTTCTCTGTTTCGGTAATGTTATCTGCTTTTCTCTGTACGTTAACAAATTTCCCTATTGTCCTAAAGGACAGATTGTAAATAGATTTGGAGAAAAAAAATATATTAAGGGGATGTGGAAGTGGCATATGGGGATCGATCGTTCGCGTAACTTTTCTGTAAACTGGGTGGAAGACAGAATTATTTCAAATTTTTCAACATAAGTAAGAAGATTGTATGGAAGGTCCGGACACCCATGACATTCATTCATAATTTTTTACATAACATTTTGGAAATATCTATGAAGAAATTTGTCAAGAATTGAAACTTCACGAGTGTCTTCCTTATAGCCTGCGTATTCATGTTATAAAGTTCCTAAGTAAGGATGATGAAGAAAAATCTAGGGTGTTCGTACTTTATACCTGACTTTTATTTCATCTTTTTAGGATATTCATTCATAATTTTTTATATAACATTTTTGAAATATCTATGAAGAAATTTGTCAAGAATTGAAACTTCACGAGTGTCTTCCTTATAGCCTGCGTATTCATGTTATAAAGTTCCTAAGTAGGGATGATGAAGAAAAATCTAGGGTGTTCGTACTTTATACCTGATTTTTATTTCATATTTTTAGAACGGAAAGGTGGTGGGGTTCCAGGGGAGGAGTCGGGTTGCCGAAGTGGAGCTCATCGGAGGCTCATTTCTGACGGATGGAATTTGTTCAGGGAGATCTTCGATGGGTCCCTGCGGAATCATTAGCACGAATCCCCCGTATATGTATATATATATACCTGGGGAACATATTCGGGGGTTTAATGGGCTCCTCGGAACACGGGACAAGTTTCATGGGGCAAGTTGTGGGCCGGTGTGCTCCTTAAACGAGGGCCCCGATTTGGCACGCCTCACGCATTCCGGGGGCGCCGGCAACTTCCTATACGTGCCTCGGAAGGATAATCGTCGAAGTAGGTGAGAAATGCGTAATGGAGATTCAGTGGAACGAGTCGAGGTGGTAATTACCGGTGGTTGATGGGAGTTTCACGGTGGGCCGAACCGTGCCCGCCGTCTGGCTGCCGGGCGCGTAATCGCGCCGGTTCGCCATGGGTTGGGTCCCCTTCGGCCTTACACCGGTAAACCACCACCAGAACGATGTATCACCGCCGAAATCACCATACACCACCGTTAGACCGCCACCCTGAGCCGAGTAATTGCGACCGGCCGACCGATTAAGTTGGATTCCGCGCTGACGCCGCGGAAACGACCCGAGTACTCTCTGCTCCGATGGGGATAATTGTTGCCACCAGCCGGGATTGTTAACCCCCGGGTCTTGATTTTGAACCACGCGTTTATTCGACCTGCGACTCTGAGGGGACTGGAAATTGACACCCGAAGATTCAATCGTTAAGGTGGAGGGAAACACGTCGAGGAACTTGATCGACGTCGATAAAGAAGATTTTTCTAAATGCCTCCGTTGCCGACGTTGGTTTTTATATCGACAGTTATATCGAATTATATTGGGTATTGTACCAAATGGCGTACTCCACCTGTCCTTTTCGCACAATAATTATAAAGAAATCGAAGTAAAACTCCAGAAATCCTGTGGATTCGTGCTTTCTGGGGCCCTAATTGACTGCAGAGGGACTCCCTGCGCCATCTGTGATTTCCAGGTCAATTAAATTTTCACTCCGAGACCTCTTATTACCATCGTTTTAGCATAGAAGCGCATACAACACTTTTTTTACCTTTATCCCGTTCAAATGCGAGTTTATCGATTACGAGAGTGTTCTAAATTGTCGTGAAATTGTCCTGACCCTTTCGATTCTCATATCAGAGCGCTCGATAATTGTATATTGATCGAAATATGAAAGCTCGACGCCATTTTGATTCTGGTCTGGGCTGAGTTAAAAAATTTTTTAAAAAAATCCAAACTTTGAATGGGCCAGGATTCTTAGATGATCAGGAGGGATGTGTCAAACTTTTGGACAGTTTGGTCTAATGCCCTTAAAAAAACGTGTTGTATTCGAATCAACTGATTTGAAGGGGGTTTCACTTCACCTTAACTTCCGGGTCTTGATTTTAACCACGCGTTTATTCGACCTGCGACTCTAAGGGGATGTGAAAGCGACACCCCAACATTCAATGGTTCATGAAACTTCTTCCCGAACTGGATGCATCGGATCGTTTCAATCGTTACAACACGAATGGGGCCATAAGGAAGGTTCCGACATGAAATTTAATTTTTAATAAAAAATATCTGTATACATCAAATTTTAATCATTGAAATTCTATGGGTGTCGGGGCCCTCCTTGTTTACATTGTCGAGTTTGAAATGATTCGCTGGAACCCAGGTCGGTGAAAAGTTTCATCAATGAAACCCCTTAACTTGCACCATGGAAAACCCTCAACGAGGGTAATGAAGAA